AGCTGAAGGTATTAAAGCCATTTCGTCCTCAGGCCACATAAATAAGAGATGATAATCCTGTATACGATCGATTCAAGGTGGCCCTGAAATATTTTTCTGTGGATGTGTTTTGATGGTAAGTTACCAAGTTATGGTTCTGTAAACTGAAATTTTGTAAAATATTATCAGACGAAAAACGCTTGCGCAGAAATGATAATAATGATTGGACATAAATACAATTTAAAACTTTATTTAAATAAATGGATTTACAGTACATTTTATTTAGTACCAAAAAAGTTAAAATACAATACAATTTAAAACACTACAATAAAATATAATTAAACATACAATATAATTATACAACTATAATTACAATACAATACATCACGTACAATACAATTATACAATAAATACAATTTAAAACTTTATTAACAATAAATGGATTTACAGTATATTACAGTATTTACAGTATATTACAGTATTTATATTACAGTATATTACAGTATTTACGGTATATTACAGTATTTACAGTATATTACAGTGTATATTACAGTATTTACAGTATATGACAAAAAAGTCAATATACACATATTAAAATAAAGTCATTTATGAAATTATAAAGATTTTGTAAAAAGAATAATTTGTTGCAATATTACATTTTATAAAAACAATATTTTGTAAACATATAGTAAATGATAAAAAACAAATTTCCTCACTAGGATATACAAAAAACTGTAAAACTGATGACACACACACACACAAAACTACATACAGGATGTTATTTTTGTACAATGTGACACGATTTTCATCTTATTAAATAGAAACAAAATAACAACATTGCAAGTAATAAGAAACAAAAATAGCATTGTATGTTATTATAGAAAAGGGAATCTTAATATAAGTTAAGTTGTTGATATTTAGTTGTTACTGCTACAGTAGAAATATCCTCACCGTAGAAAATTAGGGTTTGACGTTCGAAATTTGATAGTTAGAAAAATAAAAAAAATCTTCGGCTTAAATCGAAAAACTGTTAGGTAGAGGCAATTCAGAGCTCAGATTAATATAAGGATTATCGATACAACTGGACATATTTTTTAACAGATCTCTCCCAGAAGTGGCCAAGTATATTGTATTATCCAGATGCTTGAGCAATTATGAGGAAATTGAGGTTAAATCCGAAATTGCCTCTAAATTAACTACTTAGCTCTAATTATCGAAATATTCTGAATATTATGAAGACAGTTAATAAGAGTGTTATGTGGAAACAGTTTGCTTCGAATTTCATGGCTCACTCCTGCGAAGAAACCCACTCTCATCAGAAAATCAAAGAAAAGGCTGACCTTTTGATAATGAATATATCCCTAAAGATTTTGATTTTTGTAAAACTGTTTCTTTCACTGATAAGAGTAAATACAATGTTTTGGTGCTGATTTTATGGCAAAATTTGATGGAACAAAAAAGGAAGAATTGAAACTCATAAATGTCCTACAAGTTTTTATAACCGTGGCCTGACTACAATAAAGATTTCTTGTGTTAAAAATCCTTCATTGAAGGCATACACGATAGGACGTTTCATACAATACATATATTTACGAGCATAATATATAAATATATATGTAAAAATATATAAATATGTATATGTATATAAAAAATATTAAATATGAATATGTATATATATATATATATATATACACTGAATTGACAAAAGTCATGGGATACCTCTTAATATCGTGTCGGCCTCCTTTCGCCCGGCGAAGTGCAGCAACTCGACGTGCCATGGACTCAACAAGTCGTTGGAAGTCTTCTGCAGGAATATTGAGCCATGCTGTCTCGATAGACGTCCATAATTGTGAAAGCATTGATGGTGCAGGATTTTGGGCACGAACAGACCTCTCGATGATGTCCCATAAATGCTCGATGGGATTCATGTCGGACGATCTAGGTGGCCAGATCATTCGTTGGAATTGTCCAGAATGTTCTTCAAACCAATCGCGAACACTTGTGGCCCGGTGACATGGAGCATTGTCATCCATAAAATTCCCATCGTTGTTTGAGTACATGAAGTCCATGAATGGCTGCAAGTGATCTCCAAGTAGTTGAAAATAAGCATTTCCAGTCAATGTTCGGTCCAGTCGCACCAGAGGACCAAGTCCATGCCATGAAAAACAGCCCACACCATTACGGAGCCACCACCAGCTTGAACAATGCCTTGCTGTCAGTTTGGGTCCATGGCTGTGGGGTCTGCGCCACACTAGAACCCTACCATCAGCTCTTACCAACTGAAATCGTGACGCATCGGACCAGGTCACAGTTTTCCATTCATCTAGTATGCTCACGTGCCCACGAGAGTCGCTGCAAAGCGATGTCGTTCTGTCAGTACTCTAGACGGTCTGGAATAGCCCAAGAAAGCCAAATTTCTCCGCACAGTTCTAACAGACAAGTCCCTTGTATGTTATTTGATGTTGCTAGAATTTACGACTCTTTGCAGACGTCGCCGGTCTCGTTTAAGTGCAGGCGGTCGACCACTGCACTGTCCATGGTGGGATGTATGCCTGAAATTTCATACTCGGCACACTCTTGACACAGTGGATCTGGGAATGCTGAATTCACAACGATTTCCGAAATGGCCGACCCATGCGTCTATCTCCAACTAACATTCCGCGTCGTTCAAAAGTCTGTTAATTCCGTCGTGCGGTCATCAGCATCACGTCAAAACGAATAACTCTGAACAGAAATGAAAAGCTCTTGCGCATTTATACCTGTTCTACGCAATGCTACTGCCATCTGAAAATTTTGCATATTGTTATCCCATGACTTTTGTCACTTCAGGATATATATATATATATATATATATATATATATATATATATATATATATATATATATATATATATATATATATATATATATGTAGAATGGCTGGCTAGCGCTGCCGTTCGGTACCACCATCGGGTTCATCGGCTTTGCCCATGGGTGTTATTGGTTCGGAATCCACTTTTAAGCCGTGGTTCCGTTCCAAATCGTAGAGCGCTGCAAGCGCCCCCCCCGGGTAATGCAAAGTGGTAACATCGGTGCAGCCCTTCATGGCGAAAGATCGCGGTCTATTTGCCAGCTGCATTAGAAAAAAAATATGTATGTATAACATTATAGTATTACATCTTTAAATTCTAGAAATGATGAATTTGGTTGTCAGAAAAACAAGCTTTCTTTTAAAATAAAAGGTAGTAAATTCCCTGATTTTATTTATGATGAATTTCCATTAAGTATTTATCAATTATCAAGTTGAAACTTACAAATAAGATCAATGGATAAAATATTCAATAACTTTTCTGCATATATTATAACAAGAGTTTCGATGTAATGTGTTCCTTATTTATTCATATAAAATGTGACAAGTAAAACTCTAAGAATATCTTCATGGAAATTCTAAATAATTACGTTTATAATATTTAAACCGAATTAGATAATTGTTTTAGCATGTCTAACTTTCAAGGAATTTTACATGCACGTACCTAAATTTTCTATAAGAATGTAAAAAACATTTTATTTCGTATAATTATCGGGAAAAGTATAAGTTCAAAAATTTTTTTAGGAGTATCTGTGAATGAAAGATAAAAAAGAAGCAATATTTTGGCAAATGCTATATCATTAAACATCATTTTTATATTGATACATATATTTCTTTAATCTATTTTTTTGCTTTGTAAAAGTAGATTACGTTTTCGGATGAAGTAGTATATTTTCTGAGCCATATATTTGCATTTAATTAATTTTTATCGCATTTTAATTAAAATTTAATTTTATTCTTATTGTTAAAAGTTAAATATTGTTTACAGCTTATTATGTAACTAAAATTTAGTGCCACTATATTCAATTATATTCAATAGCAAATTATTAGACAACTTCGTATGTTTGATATTAAGCTGTTACCTTTGACTCAATATTTGATGTGTGTAATTTAGAAATTTTTAAATATGTGGCTATCAAAATCATTGATTAATTAAAACTTATTTATTAATTTTTAAGAATGAAATGAATAGAATAAGAATAATTTTATTCTTATTGTTATTCTTATAGTTACTTTTATCGTTAATTCATTTACGTGGTTTTCTTTTCATTTCTAGTTTTTACTGTATACGCTACAGTGTCATGAATGTGTTGATGTGTGATTCCAAGTCATAAAGCTGTAGCTTTCTTCTTCTTGGATATTATAAATATGAGACTAAAACACTCTGTATATAACTATATTGCCTTAATTTCAAAATGGTACATTTTAGTTTCTGACATTTTTTGGCGTTATATTTTTCTAATTATTTTATAGGATTAATTGATAACACACGAAAATTGAAATATTAGTTATATAATCAATTAACAGCAATGCAAATTTCCCTTCATTGACAAATACTTCCTTTTTGCTTACTTGTTTGTAAAAGTTTAGTTAAATTTCTTCGTCTTATCACATCGACATTGAATGTATATGGTGACTCAATGTAAATAGGATCACCCTCGAGTTAAAACACCTGAGTGTGATAAAAAACTCTTGTAAACTTAATTGATAGACTTTTTATCACCCCTAGCAATATTAGAATAGCAGATTGATAGATGAAAATAATTCACTCAGTCACCTATTAAATCAATCACAGTTGTTATTTATTGAATGTTATGTTCCATCTTTTACCATTTCTTAATTATTTAGAGAAAATAAATTACAATAAGAAGTCATATAAATAAAATTATTTGATACAGTTAAATGAGATGTATATTTTGTTGTTTTCATCCCACTTGGCTGGCCAAGCCACGGCCCATACGTACTAGGATTGAAGGGGCAGGAAGCAGCTTCTGTTGTGATGGAGCACCCGTTAGAAGTCTGACTTTATTGACTTTGCAGTGATGGGAGACAGGGAACCTGCTTAAAGTGGATTCCGAACCACTACAAACATCCATGGCACCGCCGGGATTTCCCGAAATTTGGCACCGAGCGCCAGACACTCGGCCATTCAGGTCCCAAATTTGTGGGTGCCAACGGCACGCAGTCCCAGGTGGTCACCCACCCATACTGACCGCGCCCAATGATGCTTGACTTCGGTGATCTAACGAGAACCGGTTATTCAATGATGGCCGTTGAGATGTATTATAGTAATAACCGACCAATCCTTTAATTATATAAGGAATTCCGAAGGATGTATAGTAATTGAATTATCTTGGATTTGCTCAGACTATATTTAATTTATTTATTATTTTTAAGTCATAAATAATGCATTTTTTAAATTTATAATTATTGTTAATTTTGAAAATCTTTAATACTTCAATATTATTTGTATAATAAATTATATACAAACTTCCTTTATTTATAAATAAGTCAAAAATTTTAATTACTTTTTCTCGCCTTATTACATTATCATACAGAGTGCGGGTGATCCAATGTAAATGTATTATCCGTTATCAGTGTAAATTGATTGTTTTTATCACCGTCAAGTTTCTTTAAGTAGCACCTTCCCGAATCTTCCCCTAAAATATTAGTTTGGCAGCTGCAGTCGATATAGTTCACTTTGACAATCACCCATCTAACCAATCTCGGTTATTATTAATTTTTTATTGTTATTTTCCATATTTTGCCACTTTTTAATTATTTCGAAAAAGTGAATTGAAATAAGAAGTCATACAAATAAAATTAATTGTACAGTTAAATGAAATGCATTATTGTATAATAGCCAACCAATCTTATAATTGTATAAAAGAATTTTAAAGGATGTATAGCAGTTGAATTAGCTTTAATTTGCACGTGTAAATATATATTTTTTATCTCCCTCAAGTTTCTTTAAGTAACTCCTTAACCCATATTGAGCCTTAACAATATTAAATTGACAACTGAAGTCGATATAGCTCACTTTGGCAGACACCTATCTACTGAATCTATCTATCTGAAATCGAAGTTATTATTCATTTTTTATTGTTATGTTCCATCTTTTACCACTTCTTAATTATATAGAGAAAAATCAATTAAAATAATAATTCACACAAATATAAAATTAATAATACAGTTGAATGAGATGTATTATATTATAATAGCCAACCAATCCTTTAATTATACGAGTAATTTCGAAGAATATATAGCAATTGAATCAGCTTGGATTTGATCAAATTATATTTAAGATATTTATTTTTTAAGTCATATATAATATATGTTTTTAATTTAGAATCCTCCTTAAAGAATTAATTATTAATAATCATCAATTGATCATTTTGTATTAACTCAAAGATTACATTTAATGAGGAACACCCTTATCCTACAAGTCTAGTACAGTTTAACCTACACTGACAAATCAGTCAACATTTACTGAATAGTGTACACACAAAACCCAACCATGAATTATCCATTTTTATCCCGCAGTCTCGTGGTCCGTCCTCTTCTGGGCTCAAATCTCAAAAGGAAATATTTTCTTTTAATTTTTTATTCTTTGCTTTCATTGCAAAAAAGCCCGAGTCGAGGGATTACAAGAGACTGGATTACTCGGAAGGGCAGCTTCAAAAGGAAGGGGGAACAAAAAAAATCTCTCCGCGGAGACCCGAGTTTCTTTAATCTCATCTAACATTTTTTATCCGTAGAAATGGATTTAGATCCCCAGTGAAATCCAGCGGAACAAAAGCAGTTATCGTTCTTTTCGGACAGAAAATTTCCACGCAAAGAAACAGCAAGACGTCTTATCCACTTGAAGACAACTTTTTTGGTTAGAAAAGAGGAATTAATAACTGAAAGATGAAGTGGTAATATATTTATATGGACGCTAACACTGCAATATCAAATTAAATTTGCAATGTGCTTATCAATTGCTTGCTATTTATACAATATTGTCTATTGCTTCCATTTTAGACACTAAATTTAATATCCACGAAAAGAAAAGCTTTTTCCACTTTTTTTTTTTTTGGTTAGAAAAGAGGAATTAATAACTGAAAGATGAAGTGGTAATATATTTATATGGACGCTAACACTGCGTTCTTTATTATCAAATTAAATGTGCAATGTGCTTATCAATTGCTTGCTATTTATACAATATTGTCTATTGCTTCCATTTTAGACACTAAATTTAATATCCACGAAAAGAAACAGCGAGGTGTCTTATCCACTTGAAGATAGTTTATTTTGGTTAGAAAAGAGGAATTAATAACTGCAAGATGAAGTGGTATTATATTAGCTTCCAAATAAATATAATATAACATTGTATTCTTTAGTTTGATCAATCAAGCAATGAGATTTATCAAATTATCACTTGATAATTTGATCAATCACATTGCTTACTATTTATATAATAATGTCACCATTTAGACATACAAATTTACCATTTTAAACAGAAAATTTAACACTACACGCAAAATTGTCCACGAAACTAAACAGCAAGAGGTCTTAACCACTTGAAGATTTTATTTATTTATGTATTATTATTTTTTTTTGGCTAGAAAAGAGGAATTAATAACTACAAGATGAAGTGGTAACACAATTATATGGACGCTAACATTGCGTTCTTTAATTTGATAAGCACGTTATATCAGAGCCATTAGTATTATTTTATTTAGTATTTTAGTATTAGTATTAGTATTATTTTATTTAGTATTTTAGCCAGTATCAAATTTAGTATTAAAAATTTATTTTTCACTTTGTATTAAATTATTTTATTTAGTATTTCAGTATTAGTATTAGTATTATTTTTTGTTTTAAACATATTTTAGCTCAGTATCAAATTTAGTATCTAAAAATTTATTACTCCCTTTGTAAAAATTATTTAATGAATAAAGTTTAATCCTTCCTAATGTAATGTCAAGATTTTTTCATGTTATATGGATATCATAATTTGAAATAGCTCAATCAATCAAATTTGAAATGTGCCATTGTAAAAGTCATCTAAATCTGAAAAAAAACATGAGATGATTTGTATTTATATTATTGATTTTTGATCCTTTGCCCAAAGTCAAGATTTCATTTCCTGTTAGTAATGGATATCGTAATTTGTCGAAATTGCTTTACATCAGATCAACATCATCACTGGCACAACATTGCCATGGTGGGCCAAAGCCGTCTACCTACTGGAAGATTTCAAAAGATTTAAGAAGATGTTTTCTATTTAAGGGATAGGGACGTTAGCCCTTTGCCCAACAGTCATATTAGACTGACATTTACGGTTTAAAGTGAATTTTAAAACTGCTACAAACATCCATAGCACTGCCGGAACTCAAACCCGAAAATGTATGGCACAAAGCGCCAGAATGCTAGTCATTCAGCCATCAGGCCCCCTATATCAGAACGGATTGTTAAAAATAACTTCCGATTTAGTTATTATGTGTTGTAACTTGCGCTTTAGTGATGATTTTATTATGAGTAGATATTAGGATGTTGCGCCAAGATATTTTTTCGGTTTGGTTTGTCTCTCTGCGGTCGTTTTGCGCAGACGAGAACTAAACAGACCTGGATCTACAGTTTAAAATGGATTCAGAACTATTAACATATATGCCGCGGCCAGGATTCAAACCTGAAGTTTATGGTACCAAAGGCCAGAGCGCATATCAATTGCCCATCAGGCATCTGAAATGTCTTTCTGAGATGTTATCGCTGATATGTTCCTTCGATATTCTTTTCCATGAGCGTGAAAAAATTGGGTACACAAATATGTGTGTAAAATTTCAGATTAATCATTAAATATATTCTAATTCCACTTTAGAATCTAAATATTCAAAATTAGCTTAAAAATATGTATATTTTCATTTTTCACTGATTTCTTTTTTAAAACATCGTTTTGTTTTATTTCTCATTAGGATGGGGAAATTGGGAAAATATGTAAGAAACATATGCCAAATTTTAAAATAATCAGTAATATCTTCTAGTTCCGACTTTTAAGTATTAAAATTGACAATAGTTAACACTTAAAAGTATTGTAATATAATGAGTTTGAATAGAAATAAGAAAATAAAAAACTTTTATAAACTATAAATACTTAAATATAAGGAATGCATTTACCATTGATTTCATTCTTATCCATTTTACTGAAGCCCGTTACATCCTTATAACCTCATATCTTGTAGTTTGCACATCTATCTGATTAAAATGCTAGAAATTGATTCTACTATTCGTAATGTTTTTAAAAAATACGTAACTGTGATTTGTAAGCCTGGCATAATCATACAAATGTTCAGCACAATAACATCTACATTCGTTTAAATGAACTTACAAAATCCCTGTTTCTGAAGCCAGAAAAATGCTAATATATCCATCGTATACAACTAACCTTGTTAATATATCAGGACTCTAAATTTGATTGCAAATTGTCTGGGAATAACAGGAACAGTTGGGACAATAGTTCCTCAATTTTCACTCCCAAATTAAATAAATATTAAATGATTGTTGTCGTATGCACCTCTTTTGTAAAGTGCCATATCATAGTCGCCACTAATGTTTTTTAACTATTTAAATAAAGAATAAATCATCTAAAGTAAAACTATTATAAATAATAAGTGTATTAGATATAAGAAAATAAATATTAAAGATATAAGAATAGTTTTATAATACTCGCGGTGTTGCGAAAAAGGCTTAAATGTATTCAATATTTTTATTAGAATGTAAAAAAAAATGTTAATCAAATTTATTCAGAAATAGAAATTTTCAGAATAAAAATATTTGTCCAATTTCTGTAAAGATGTACAACCTTTAATTGCTAGTTTACATATGATTAAACGGATGTTTTGCAAAATCTGAAAAAATAAGGAATTGTGATAAGAAATTTGGGGAAAAATATGTATGAACCATTTTGAGATATAGACATTATTGGTATAATTTTCATTAAGTTTATTTTTTTCTAAAATTAAATGATTGCGAAACTCTGAGTAGTTAAAAATAAAAATATGCTTTTTTGAAAACTTATAAATTACTTTTAAATTAGTTTATTCAAGTTAAAACTTATACCATTCCTTTAATTAGCAAATTATCTTCATGCAATCAAATGGTTATAAGACTAATCAGATGCACTTTTTTAAAAATGTAACAATTTACATCTTTAATATCCACTTAATAAAAAAAGTACTTGACTGTACATTTTAGTATTTTAATTCATTTAATATGGCACTTGTCCAT